TATATATATATATATATATATATATACGCAATACTAGACCCTAGACGCCGGCTGTGCGTGGGCGGACCTCATTTGGACGGGGTCTACCTTCAAGTAGGCTGAGAGTTCTTTGACAAGAAAGTCGACGTCGCTTTCTTTGGGTCTGGGATCGGCCGCCTCTAGCACGGGAGCGTCAGTTGTTCCTGCCACTGTGCGGCCCTCCCAAGGCAAGAGGAATAGCACGCGGCCGTCGCTTGTCTCAGGCAACAGCAGACCAAATGGTGTCTTGTGGGTATACCAATGAGGTAGCACTATGTGGGCCCCTGGATGAATCCAGAGCAAATGCAAATGCACACACTGACGATAAGAACTGCTGCTGATAAACCGCTCCGCTTATACATAAATCCTTACATAGGGGAAGGCACGAAACAGTGGCAACAACACCTTATCCCTTTTACATCCGTCAAATAACCAATCAAACAAACACAGCACCGCATTCGTTTCAAAAAAACTCAAGCAAGCATACAAACAAACAATATATCTAACTAATCGGGCAGAAACGATACCAACAGCATAATGTTTACAGAGACACAAAAGCAAAGCAACGAATCAACAATTCATTCATCCTAGCCGCACCTGCTGCAGGTGTCAATAGACGCTGTGCATCTTCGTGGTCCATCTTACGCACACGGTCAGCTAGTGGGCCTGCAGAGAAAATACCACAAACACTAAACCCTAAAGCCTAGACATGGATAGCAGGTACGAGGCACACTAAGATTAGGAGAGCTTTGACGGACAAGCCAATCCTTAAAATCAGTTGCCACTTTTCGCTTTTTAATTATATATTGGGTAAAGGGTCTAGGGTTTATGTTGCGGGGGTTTAGGGCTTAGGATGCTGGGTTTTAGGGTTCAGGCTGTTGGGGTTTAGGGTTCACGCCACTGGTTCCTGACCAGTGCAATTGACGACCACCTTCGAATGAATCGTGAATTCCTCGTTGGTCTCCGTGTCTTGAACCCTTGCTCCGATCTGCAGACAGCCCCAAACAGAATTTACATGCATGCGAGCATGCATACATGAATACTCTATGTAGAGACCCTAACCTCTACAGGGACAGATAACGGCAAGTAGAGTGTCACGTTCAACCTTGCATGCGTACACAGCTTAAGGTGTATGGATATGTAATTGTATTCGAGAGACACTAGGCTTTTGTATACGTGTGTGTGCATGCATATTTTGATGAGACTGTTGCCATTCGTCGTAAACCCTAAAACCCGGAGCCCTAAACCTATATATATATATATATATATATATATA